TTAATCTGCTCTATTAATATCTATATATTATCTTGTAAGGTGGTTGAGATATACGCGTGTAGAGGTGCGCAAAGTTGGTGGGGTGCGTCACTCGCTTGTACGCGTCACTCGCTTGTAAAACATGTTACAACGGATCTACACTTCATGTTTGCGATCTTCAACTCCAATGTCTTCTTCAACACAAAAAACCTGTGGGTTCTCTTACTGGGCCATGTAGTTCTATCCAGATTCGTGCGTCAGGCCAACTTTATCACGGTTTGGAGATTTCTTCGGGCTTTGGCTCAAGCTCTTGACTGGTGGAACGGTAACGACACGGCTTCGTTGGACAGTCGATACCCATCATCACAAGGTCTGGAGACTGACTATCGCCTCCTCCTTCCGGGCAAGACTGAAGAGAAGGTCTAATGCTTCCTTCGAAGAGTTTCCCAACGCCCTAGTCGCTACTCATACCTTGTACACACATCTCACTGCCAGTACCATTACCGATGTCGGACACAGAAACCCATCAGCAGCAACGCGCATCTTCTCGGCTCTTTGGCCTACCAATCCCTTACGCCTATGCCATGAGTACATATACGAGATACCTTCTGTCACAGAAAACCAGGAACAATACCACCTTCATCGCCTATCGGCCAAAAAGCTGGTCCTTTTGCTAGAGGCCATCATGGACTAGGTGACTAGCGGCTCACTTCACTTCATTATGTCTCAGTCCTGAATATTTGTGGTCTCCTCGGTACGGGTGTGTAGGGCTCTGCCTCGCCCACTACTTGCCTCTTGTACTCTTCAAAGTACGCGTCAAGACGACCACTCGAGATTCCGTCCTGTTGCAGAATGATTCAACTGACAAGGATTAGTGTCCGAGGCGGCGAGCCGCATACGGCGACAAACGCACGAGCGAATCGTTGTCACCACCCACAAAATATTTCGTATCAAGAAGACCCTCTCGTTCGTACCGTTTTAGATATCCACCTCTGGCCACGTCTTCATGCTATACCTTACAACTATAACAGTCTTCATCCATCGCTCAGGTACCACAACCTCTCTGTGTTGCTGCGCGCATGGACTCGGTATCAGGGCCTCATGCTCTTATTTTGCGGTCATAGATGGTCTCTCCATCTACAAGTCTCTTACCGAAGGATATACAAGGTCCGTGTTTAGCTCATGGTTTACTTTGCATTATGTATACTCATATGCTTGCTGGGGTCCAAGGCTGGTCAGGATCATCTGTTGACTGCCAGTGTGCCAGCTTGTTTTCGACATTTGGATCATGTGGCGACGGGTCAAACAGAATTTCGAGTGGTGCCATGTTGGCATTGAATCTCTACAAGGCGATGCTATCTTAGAACTACTATCTATTTGCTTTGAGACATGACTCTACTACTGTAAAAGCTCCTCCATCACCTCAGTGGGTGTTTTCTTCGGCGCAGCAATCTCCAGCACTTCCTTGCTTGTCGTCTCCGCCTTCGCCTTACCCTGCCACGCCGTGTCTGGAGCATGCTTGATAGTAAGAATCACGTTCTTGGAGTAGCTAGACGCAGCAGCCATATCGTCTACGAACCCGACATCTTTGAACGAGACATCCTCAACCTTGGCGCCAATATGCTTCTCAACCATCGCCACGATCTGGCTTCCCGTGATGTCTTCAGGGCCATTGAGAACGTATCTGCGCTTGTTGTGCGCAGAAGTGTCGTCTTGGAGCAAGATATGTGCAGCAAAGGGGCCAACCTCTGAGGGATCGATGATACCGACCGGGCTATCAGCGTCTGCAATCAGACGTAGTGTATGTTGCTTGCCGCCGTTGCGGACAGTCTTGATGAGCTCAGCAGCAGTGCCAAGGTAGAGTTGCGAGAATACATTTGGCTGCAAAGAAGACCAGTGCATGCTTTCAAAAGCTGGTGAATCGAGCATGGCCTCAATCGCCCAGTGCGCACGCGGGTAGTAAGCCTTGCAGTCTGGGGTAACGTTTGCGGCTGTCGTGGAGATGCGCACAACGTATTTGACGCCAGCACCAAGGGCTGCGATGTGGAATGTTGACTCGTCGGCGAAATGTGGTGGCTCGTTGTGTGATGCTATGAAGGCTCTAGCAACGTTGTGTTCGCGCAGCCACTCCGTAGTAATCTCCGTCCAAGTGTATTCGACAATCTCGACGTGAGGAAATTTGGCGAGTGATTTTGCTGACGAGCTGTTTGCAGAACGGGTCACAGCGAGGATGCGATAGTTGGAAAAGGTCTTGCTGGATTTGAGGTGGTTCGACAGGGTCTCAACGACGCTGCGACCGGTATTGCCTGTGGCACCGACAACGAGAAAAGAAGCAGCCATGATTTAACTAGGTAACACAGTAAATAATTGGTTTAGAAGATGAAGTTCAGAGTATTTTGAAGATCTAAGCCTATTGAAGACCATACTCAACTTTTGTACACCCCTGCGGAGTGTCATCAACTCCGTGGTGGCACTACTTGCAAGCCGTACCGCTCTATGACTAACCGCACTCCGCACCACGCGTCCGTGTTTCGCCCGAACATCAAACCCTTACGCGAGGGACTGTTGCGGAGAACAGCCAATCAGATCATTACAATACTATTGCCACACGCCGTTAGTAGGGTGGGGCAAGCACTAAGAGATGGTGCAGATCGTGCAACACCATGGATCCGAGCAAAAGTAAGAGCTGAGATGACGCCACTGTTGTAAGATATCATGGCGTAACGTCCCTCCCTGAGTGCTGGGACACCCAAGATCGGCTCGCTGTGCTTCCAGTACTCCAAGGCCGTCAAGGACGCGAAAGACGATATCGAGCGCGTGCAGAGAAAAGTTGGCGATATCGAGCGTATCCAAAAAGACATTAAGAAGCTATTAGAGGGACCGCATAAAGCACGGTTCTCCACTACTTATCGCCTGTTCGACTCGTTAAGCCAATGTCTTCAGGAGCTCAAAGACATGAAGGTAAAATTGGATCCAGGGAAGACTCGCAAGACTATGAGCCGGTTTGGCGTGCAAGCTCTACAATGGCCGTTCACTAGCAAGCAGGTGGACAAGATCGTTTCAAACTTACAAGGGTATAAGCAGACCTTTAGTTTGGCGCTCCAGGTTGAGCAGACGTAAGCTTCTGCACACGGAGCTGTTATGCGCAAGTAAAAGAAACTAACCAGCTCCTAGGCATTTAATGCTTGACGTTGACCAGAAGCTAGACCTGGTAACTCTAGATGCCCACAGTCTTCATCGAAAGCTAGGCCTGGCCAGACTACCCATTGCCCAAGGCGCATGCTAAAACTCTCGCGACGAAGAGCACAACGCACGATGCCTTCCGAACACACGTACTAAGCTGCTAGACGACATCACAACATAGGCGCAGAACAAGGATAGCAAACCTATATTCTGGCTGAGCGGCATGGCTGGCACAGAAAAATCTACTATTGCGCGGACGGTCGCTCAGTCGTTTGCTAATCGCGACCAGCTAGGGGCAAGCTTCTTCTTTAAGAAAGGCGAGGGTGAGTGCGGCAACGCCTTGCGGTTCTTTACTACTATCGCCATGACCTAGTGACGCATAAGCCAGGCGTGGTACCTGGGATAAGGAAGGCGCTTAACGAAGACTCGAAAATTGCGGACAAGGCTCTGAAGGACCAGTTTGAGAAGCTGATCCTGCAGCCACTCTTGGGAGTAAAGCAGGCTGGCTCCTAGGTCTTAGCGCGTGTTGTTGTGATCGACGCGCTAGACGAATGTGAGCGAGAAGCAGACATTCGGGCGATCCTCCAGCTCCTTATTCGGACAAAAGACATCCATCCAATGCCACTACGGATCGTGGTGACTAGCCGGCCAGAGCTCCACATCCTCGCAGTCTGTTGTACCCCTGCGCTTTTTATCGTATGTGCCAACATTCGGTACATCTCATTCTTAAGCCATATCACCGCGCTCTCAGCTGTATGCCCTTTGTTTCTCATCTCAACACCAAAGAAGATGTCATCCTTCTTATGCGCTCCAACATAACCTTAACCCCGCGAACAACGCTTTCGATGCTTCTCCAGTTCCTCCTCACTTCCCTCAATAAAAACGGTGTCATCCTCGATCTTGAATCCGTGCGACAGAAACCACGCCGGAAGTTCCTGCGAGCTCCGGTTGAGGTAAAGCGTTATCGTCCCGGGGGTACCAGGTGGACTTCTAAACTGATCAGGATGGCCAAACCTGAAATACCTATATTCCATCATCATCCTCATCATTCCGCCAAATACTGCCCCTGCCACACGACGCTCTCTCTCCCTTTTCTCCCAACCATCGTATGAACCACTGTTCAAATCGTACAGTGCAGCTTCTGCTTCGTCGATGGCTTCGGGTGTATTCCTATTCTTCCTGAATCAATCAAAGTCCCAGTGCTGGATTGCTGCCCGAAAGTTATCTTCGTTCCATTCCTTTTATTTAGGGCATGTTGCCCGTGGTAACTCAGTCCCGGCGAAGTTTCTCACCATCTCCTGTTTTGCTTTGTGTTTCTTTTCTCTTGGCTTACGTAACGGAGAGTCGATGAGTACCATAGATACCCATCCTTTGGGAGGGTTTGAGTAGGGCTGCAGTCGTGGCGGACCAGACTCTGGCCCGATAGGCTGGCCTGTGGTGGGGGATGTGGTCGCTTTCTTGTAGTGTGGGCACCACTGGTCGTGGATTGACTTGGCCGCGAGTTGAGCATTCAGGATGGTAATCTCATCAGTGAGCCGCTGAATTTCAGCATCGTTCGCGCTCTCGGCGTTGTACTGCGTCGGTTTGCGTTTCGTCATGGCGAACTGTCGCCGGTCTCGAAATTTTGTTACGGTGTCAAAGGAGTGGGTATGATTTTTGTGTGCGCGAAGCCTTCAGTGAGTCATTTAGTGAAAGCGGCATGTTGAACCAAGGTTCACGATTTCCGCTCGGCGAAGCAAAACGTTAACATTACGACGCCAGCTTCTAGTGTTAGTCGTCCGCCAGCCACATAAGTTCTTTGTAGTCTGGTCCGGTCGCTGTTCATTCGCGTCGATTGAAAACATTATCCCGCCGACAACACAGGCTGGACCTACTCGACTAAAGCTACTCGGCTATGGTACTTTCGCGCACAGAGTCGGAAAAACTTTGTCCGTTACTTTACTCGCCTCCAGCTGGTTGCGTTTGATTCAAATAAGGCGCCCAGCTCCGTGCGTCGTCCTCCTCCACAATTGCTTGGTATACCAAGCTTTTCAACATCGTACGACCATCTCCGTCTTTCTTGGAGGGCCGCGCGCGCGTATACCAAGAAGAACTGGACTCGCTGTGCAAAGCTGGACGCTGCCTGGGTCGGTCGGTAGAATATATGACCCGACCATAGATTGTTGTAAGATCTGCAGGTCCGTCTCGTGGAGATACATCCTATACCGGTAAGACTCGCTTGGTTGTTGACATCCTTGCTCTCCGCTTCTTGTGGGGTCAATCCTTTCCAGATAAAGCAGGTCTCTCGTATTTGCAGCCTCGAACATCACGACTTTCTAGGCGTCCAACGTCTTTCAAATTCGGTTCTTTAAGAGACCGCTTTAATATAAGGCTATTGCTCCTAGAAATATCTCTCTTCTAGGGTCTGCAAGGGCAGGGTTCCAATTGTTCGCCATCATCTCTTAGGGCTTGGTCACTGATACGACCTAGAATTATTAACCTGAACTTCGCCCTTGATCGGGAAGGAGTCCCGCAGGGCGGAGCTTGATTTGATCCTACACTTTGACGTACGGAAGGATTTTACGCCCTGCATCTACTTGAGTTCTCAGTCATACGTTTCTATCCAAATATCCGTTACTAGCTTACTAGTAACTTGCACGCTATACGCTTTGCACACAGGAAAGTTGTATCTCACGGCACAACCACACCATTCCGTACTAGAGTTTCCTACGCCCGACTTGCTCTTCCAATTATCGCTGTGTCTCTCTGTCGACGACTAGTCTCTTTCACACTGGTCGTTTGGAAGTCAGGCGTTTAACACTTCTTTCACCTCCCATTTACTGCGTAGGTGCATTACCGAACAGGATTACTCCACAGTCTCGATATGCGATCAGCCTGAATTGAGGTATGGCAAGGAGGGCACGTCCTAGCAACAGTTAATCGTGAGAAGCATAAAAGAAGTCGCTCGCCTCCCCGATCTCATCCTTCTTTACTCCTTTCAAGCCTTAAGTCATCAACACCAGAGCCCTTAAACCTAACTCTTTCTCCACCCCGGTTCTCAACATGAAGTTTTCTACCTCCCTCGTTATCTTGACTTCAGCAGTCACCGGCGCCATGGCCGAAGGCTGTTATTCCGGCGGCCAGGCATGGGCCACCGATGCCTGCCTGAATGACTTCAAAAATGCTATCAGAGACCTGTGTAACAACGGTGTTCTCGGTGGCTATTTCAACAATGGCGGTTACAAGTCAGCTTGCGCCAATTGCCGGAGCAGTGGTATTAGGGTGGATCTTGGTGTGGGCTGGAAGGGCCAAGGCGCATTAAGCCTAAACAACGGCGACTGCGCTAAGGAACTGAGCGGCCTGCTCGATCGCTGCTACCGTGGCGGCGAGCACACTAATGCTGACTGGTATTTCTAGTAAGTAGCTATACACACATCGCTAGCTGTGCAACGACAATGATTGCTAACGGCCTCTGTTCGTAGTGCGGACCCTAACACGACTAACAATGGTCGCTGCTGATTCGACCAGCTTGGCTGTTTGGGAAGAATGAGTTTGGGGTGATATAAATGATGGGCGGGCGAAAAAGAAGGGACGGAGAAAAGCTCGTGTGGGCTTTCGACGAGAAGGAAGAGCGTGTTGCAAGATACCGCAGGCGAAGAGCGATCTACCCTAAACAGAGCGTACCGATGCTGGAGTAGATGATCAATTGTCGCAGGTCAAGTGCTGTCGTAAACCTTGTTACTAATAACGCTGTGTGATGACCTTCATATAAGTTGAGCTAGGATGCTACAATTAATACAACATACACTCTCTCTTGATTGTTCGGTCCACAATACCCGCACCTAACCGTGCGACACCAATGAACTACCATACTTGCCGACTTGACCTGTTCCTTTGCCAGTCTTCTCTTCCGTCGTTGAGGTTGTAATCATAGCTTGTCTGGTTCGCGTTCTCAAAGTGACGTCGCAATCTGAGGGACTACGGTAAGAACCAATTCATGCAGGGAAAGCCTAGCTTGGGACCTTGGTCAGCACTGTCTCCCATTAGCTTATTCCTCTAACAGCACATCAACCTACATACCTCATGCGCACATCCACATCACGTCTTATATGAACTCGCTTTCCTCGCATACGAACTAATGACGAAAACCACACCGCCCGTAACACTGTTAAGCTGATGTAATTCTTTCCCGATCCCGCCGAGATGTTCAAACACGAACGCTCTCCTTAATGCCACACGATGCGCCACTAGTAGCATGATTGTACTTGCCATCATCTTCCGGATGCCTTTGCGTTTGTGTCGCACAACGCAAGCGCATGGGGAGATACGTCTCACAAATGATCGAAGGCAAAGACAAGCGAAAGGTATAAGATATGTAACACTTCCCACTGGAATGCTAACAAGCTTTATATAAGATCAGAAACATTTCATTGCTATACGCACTGTTACAAACTGCCGAGTCCACTGCGCGATCTATGCCACAGTGATACGACGTAATGAGAGGACAAAATCCATGCCAGTAGTCCTCGTTTGAAGGGTCTCGAGATATTTGGGGAGACGGCGCTCGAGCGCGTTGATTCCTACCGAGACTTTTGGCTACAAGTCGTCGTCGTAGTTCTCATCTACCTCCATATCGCGAGTAGCACGAAGGCCGGATTCGACCTGGGTCTCCGTATCATGGTACCTATCCGCCTCCTTAGCTTCCTTGGTATCCCTGTCTCCTTGTAGAGATGGAGAACCACCATCGTCGTCGTAAGGTATGGCCAGCTCAAGAAGCTCTTCTTCGACATCGTCGAGCTTGTCCTGTCCGGCAAAGGGGTTGGCCTCGCCGGTTCTCGAGTACTTGGCAGGCCGCTCGTCCTCTTCAAGCTGATCTGAAGTATAGCGCTTGCCGCCGGGATGAAGATCAGACGCGTCTGACTGTTCATTGTTATCATTCAACCCTTCCACGTTCTTCGACGTCTTCTTGGATGTATCATCCTCATCATCGCTCTCACCGGCACCACCGTGTGCTTTGTCATGTGCTAGTTGGTCGGCCTTGCTAGGTTTGCCAAATTTACTCGCGATATGGTTCGATAGAGCGATACCCTCAGCCGACTTGTCGCCGCGCCATCTCACAATTGGTACTCTGCCACGATCGTAAAACGGCTTGTACGCTGTGTACTGGTGGCGAACGCTCTCCACTGTTCGACCGATAGACAAGCTTCCTCCCTTCACCTTCATAAAACCGGTGCTCTCCTTATAGTCTTGACCGATGAAGCGATCATTGTGGCGCTCGGCGAGGTCCAAAATGGATGCATCGGGGTCTTCGCGGATCAGTCGAGCCAGGTACTCTCGCTCAATCTCTGTCCAAGGTGCATCCATGGTCTCACGATCGATAGCCTGGTAGCGACGATCGTTGAGAGCCTTGATGCTTTGCTTGGAGTTCCAATCCCTGGGTCTCTTTCCGTAACAGTAGACGTCTGGTGATCGCTTCGGCACGGAGGTTTTTCTGTTCAGCCGCATATCGATGAGCCGAACTGCAAGCAGTTCTTCTTGGTCACGATCAATGGGAAGACTCGCCATGTTGGCCGGATCAATAGTATAATGGTGTTTTACCATTTGCGAACCACGCTTGTATCGATAGCCACGATTCTCGAACAAGGGAGGATTAGTCTGTCCGTTGCTCGCACGAGCAGATGGTTGATCAGGAGCGGGCCGAGCACTACCGGTCATGGGCCTGTCACCCCAGAACTGATTAAAGGCTGGTATGACAATAGAGTGGTTGTAGGTCAAAAAGCCATCGCCAACAGGAGGCTTACTCCCCTTTGCTTCGGGAACGGTTGCACCGTCGCCCTTCTTCGAGTCAGAAGCTTTAATACCCTTCTTTTTCGAGGCCACAGCTTTTCCATCCTTCTTCTTTGGGGTGGAAGCTTTTACGCTCGACTTCTTTGACGTGGTGGCTTTTGTGTTTTTCTTTTTCTGTGGGGAGGAGGCGACCTCCTCAAGTGCCAGCGACGTGTCCTCGACATCATCTGTAGGCGATGTGACCTCTTTTCCAGCTGATGCGGGGGTATCCGAGGCACTGGACTGGCTGTTTGTGGTGATGGGCGCGTCTTCGATATCGGCGGGATTCTCCGCTACCTCAGACCTTTCCGTTGCCTCGAACTGTTTTGGCGGTGTCTCGGGGGTCACCGGCGTTGTAGTGGGTTGTTTGGCCATATCGAAGAAGCACAGTCTCGTTTCGGTGTATTGGCGTAAACCAGGTGTCTCAGTAGTGGTTATGAGAGGACCGACCGGACTGGGTTGCGATCTCGTTTGGTTATGCGTCGAGCTCTTGGCGAAGTGTTTTGCGAGTGATTTTGCTGTAGTCGAGCGTACCGTGGTTGAAGGTGCGTCCTGAATGAGAGCCAACGTGTGTTGGAATTTTCGAGACATTTTTTAAAGGGATAGGACGTGGGCAATAAGTACGAGAACGCGTGGCCACCCTGAGACCCGAGGTGAAAGGCTCATTCGGTGCGCGGAGCTGGCGCTTTGACATATAGGTTGCACAGTGTGAAGTTGAAGTTGTCAGTCAGTGTCCTTTGTGCAAGGCTTTCGTCCGCTCTCAAAGTGAGCAAGACGGTAAAGCGCAAGCCAAACTAACAATGTTACAATAAGACAAAGACGACAAGATCAAAATCATGTTTTCGTGCACACAACTGGCAATCTGGCGTGTTGTCGTTGTATCTAGATGAACGTTCGAAATTCATCTCTCCAGAGCTCAGAGTCCAGTGTGCGTAGCGCAGGGAAGGCGGGCAAACAGCGTCCGACCCGTAATGTCGCTTTAGGTCCCCTAGAGCCGAGACTTTGTCATGGGCACGCAATCTGTCGAGAGGCGCAAAATTGCAAGGACAATGCAGTGAAGGTAGCGCTCGCCGCTGCGCGTTGAACGAGGTGACGGTGACACATATCTCCTGTGACTAGAGAGCACCCGCTTCAACACAAGCAGTCTTCAGTTCTTGTTGCGAGTTTCTTCAGTCGGGATCCGGAGCATTACCCAGGGCAACGGCTTGCACTGCAGCAAGCGGGGCTCGTCGTTCTCATTTTCTGCCTCTTAGAACGCAGCAGACATCCAAATTCATTGCGACGGGGCCTGAGACCGACGTATGAACCACAAAACTCGATTCCAAGACTCAGGAAGCTTCGGGATGGCGCTGTTTGTAGTAGTTGTCGTTATACATTGCATGAACATCAGAGAAGCAGGAGAAAGTAGAGGGAACAAGTAGTTTCGAGATGCCAAACATTTTGGCGGCTTTCTCTGCATATATCTTCCAGGTATCAGATCAGGTTCTATCATTTATGTGAGGGAAAGGTGTGGCCGAGAATCTAAGCAATGTAAGATGAGTAAAAGGCGTGAAGACGTGATGCTTGTCGATTTTTGGGCCTGGTCTAGCGTCTTGGCGTTCTTATCGATGATTTACCTGCGGTCGCGACCTTCACTGCACTGGAGCTTCACGTGTCAGGCATGTCACAAAGTAAAGGTTACATGTATTCACCGGTTCCACCATGTGCGGCTCTGGTCCTGCCATTGGTATGTAATTGTGGTACCGAAAGGGCTCCACTAATTCGCCCACCATTCAGTCGCCTACGCGTGGTGCCACCTGAACACTTGCACGATACGTCACGAATATCGAAGCTCGACCTCCCACCACCGCCGCTTGAAGACGAAATACGGTTCCTAGGTATTGCGCCCTATAACACCAAACGATGGTAATTCATTTCAAATCATCGTGTTAGGTATCGATGGCAAAGTACTTGAGATCATGTGTCAAAATATTCGATGCCCTTGAACATCAAATATAACTGTACATTCGTTGACAGTTGAATTACTATTAGACATTATTACACGATGCATGCTCAGTGCATGGCTAAGTGTCGTGGATGTACGACAAGGATATCATTGTTAACTCCTAACCACCCGTTGGTTTTGTAAAGAGTCTGAGCTTTCAATATAGCATTACGGTTATCCAAACATGGGCCAGGTGCTCGACTCCCTGGGTCAGCAACTGTCAAATCCAGGTCGATGCGCATTTCGTCGATTCTATAAAAACCAAAGATGCCCGAGTCTAGGCTCAAGGGCATCTGTCAATCACAACTGAAGACGAACATGTCGACGTCATTGATCTTCCATACGTGGCGTGCTTGCACTCGAGCCGCGCGATCGTTATCGAGATCGCGGAACAGCCGACTAGCGGCGGCTGATGGCGAGGCTAAGGGTATGGGTCGAGGCAAGAAGTTCCAGATTGGCGACATCTTGGTGTGCATCCTATGCCTCAGTCTTTGCGTCGCGGCTTCCTTGTAGGCACTTGCCTAGGCGGCGACTTGATCAACTTGCGCCGTGTCGTTGATGCTGCCCGTACAACGTTGTTCGATCCAGGAACAAGATTGTAGTGGTCATAGCGCACGGGGTTGATGGGCGGCCTTGAGCGAAGACCATGACAGCGACTAGTGCGTACGATTATGCGAACGCTTGTACCTGCATGACGATATCATGTTTTGTTTTCAAAGACTGACGTCGCTACCCCGGCTGCTTCGTCGGGAGAGTCGTCGATACCAGGTCCTCATGGTGCCCCATAGGGTGTAGTCGCTGGGTAGTTCATCCTCGGGAAAAAATGTGATTCCTGATGATGATGATGGTTTTCTCGATGGTGATGGGACTTCAGGTGTAGATGGGATTCCAGGTGTAGATGGCTTGCGATGCTTGAGATGTTCTTCGTCCATGCGCAAGAGGTCCGCAGTGAATTGCTCCATCGTGGTGAGAGCGGGAGAGTAACTAGGGCAGAGGTGGTTGGGAAGTGGAGGAGGGAAGGCTTCCTGGCCCGCAAAGTAGTGTTGTTGGTGCTCCATGTCGTTGAGAAGGTGATGCGATGCGTTGCTATGAATGAATGTGTTGCTATTGATGTGTTGTTCGCATATTTCTGAAGGACCGCGTCGCGTTTATATCACAACAGTACATGTCGTCATGCTCTCTGCTCATCCCACACGCGCTATGTCGCGTGGCAGGGACGACATCCCACTCGCTTCCCGTGGCCGTGCGCGGTTTCAATACAATAATAAAATAAGACGTTCCGATTACATATTGTTCCCAGATCTACTGGTCACCAATATCGTCATTCCCTTGTTGTAGACAGTACCCCTGAAACTTCCCGCTTTCCGGGGTCGATCGATCGTACCTAGGTGTCGGCGTCATCAGGGGTGTTGCATCGTCAGGGCTAGATCCAAGTTTGATCCTGGCAGGCGGTCCCTGCGCGCGACGCGAAATGAGTACAACTTGTTGATGGCTTCTTGCGCGCGATCGTGAGTCTCATGAGAGATGTCTTGGTGTTGCAGGCTGCCATCGGCTCGCAGATTCCGACAACACCCTACCTCGGCTCATCGGGCGAAGACGGCCAATGCAGTGACGTCCCTCACCAACACCTCAATGACCAGCCGTGAGCACCCTATCGTCATCGCAACGACACATAGAAATAATGCCCATCCCCACACCTTTCGGCGATTTTCTGCCCGCTGCTTGAGCTCCACCATCTGCATTGCTTGCAGCTTACATAGCGAAAGTCTTTATAAGTGGACGTAGCTGCCCGAGATGCCTACCCCACCGTTCTCCCAAGACCGCCGAGATTGGTTGAGCGAAATTTCTGGACTGTTTTCGCAGCGCAAGACCAAGGACATTAAAAGCACGGCATCCACATCAACTGTAGACCTTAGATTTGGCGCCCCAAAAGCTCTTGACTCTACTTCGACATTCAGCGTGAAAGATGACGCCTCCACAAAAGATCAAGCAATGGCTCACGGGCCAGGACGGGCTCGATAAGCTCAGGATGGACGAGGCGGAATGCCCGGCTCCTGGAGAGGATGAAGTGCTGGTTGAAGTCCATTCTGTTAGTCTGAACTACAGGGATACCGAAGGTATGTACACCGTGATTCGATCGTGCCAACTCCAGCGGCAGGGTTATGATGGTCATAAGAACAACGCTAAGAACGTGGACAGTCGCTATGGGCCTCTACAACCACCACCAGTCGGTAGATCATCCTCCCGCGATTGTTCCAGCCAGTGACATGTGCGGTGTGGTTGTTGCTGTTGGTCCAGTTTCCAACAACACTTCAGACCCTTACAAGAACCCAGCTTTCCAGCTCAAGGAAGGCGACAGGGTCATCAGCACATTTGCGCCGAAACATCTCAGCGGCCAAATCAAGGCTACAGACATTGCGAGTGGCCTTGGAGGCCCAGCCCCAGGAGTACTGACACAGTACCGCGTCTTCCCCACCTATGGCGTTGTCAAAATTCCAGACTATCTCTCCGATGACGAAGCGGCTTGCTTACCAATAGCAGCCGTGACCGCTTGGATGAGCTTGAACTGCATGCGACCAAATGGCGAGATCATTGGAAAGGGCGAATCAGTCGTCTGCCAGGGTACTGGCGGTGTGAGCATTTCTGCAGCTCAAATCGCGTCCGCAGCAGGTGCTGATGCCATCGTCACCTCCTCCTCCGACGAGAAGCTTGAGCGCGCATCCAAACTTGGTGCGAAGACGACCATCAACTACCGCAACAACCCTGATTGGGAGAACGCAGTCCTTGCTGCCACCTCCGACGAGGGCGCTGACATCATCATTGAAGTTGGCGGCGCGCAGACACTACGCAAATCGTTTGAGTGCGTACGCTTCGGTGGTTTGATCTCTTGCATCGGCTACCTTTCCGGTAAGCAAGATGAAGCCGGCGACAGGACCAACACAAACCTGTTGTGCTTGAAGAGGAATGTTACCCTCAAGGGCATCATGAATGGCCCTAGGACTGAGCTTGAAAGAATGCTCAAGTTTTATGATGAGAAGAAGATTAGACCAGTCGTCGATCGTGTTTGGCAATTTGAGGAGGCGGATCAAGCACTGAAGTATTTGTTTAGTGGAGGACATTTTGGAAAGGTTGTTATTAAGGTGAAGGAGTAGGTGATACTAGAAGTACACTATGACTCAAAAAGAACCACCATCATCGAATAATCTCAACGAATCAGCCAGCACATTCAGCATCATTGCGTATCCTTTTCGAGGTCTCTACATTACGTTGATGCAGAATGGCGTCAACGCAGAAGGACTTGACACTGGTGATATTCTCAACCGAATCGATCAACATAGAAGGAAGTCTCAACTCCCATAAGCTGCCAGCGATTAAATCATGACCAGACCTGTACGCTACTTAGCGCTAAATAACCCGGCCGCGTTCGTACCCCACTCCACGAATCCAGCAGCGAGCTGCAGTAGCGTCTTATTGCTCTCTTCATAATCGATCGCGTTGCGGTTAGCAGCAATCCACGCCTCCTCCGCCTCCAGGAGTGTTTCAAGCTCCTTCTTTCCTTTTGACCGCCCCAGTGTCAGACCCCTGGGACCAATTTTGAACACCTATACAACAGCAGAAATCTCGAATCCCTCCTTCTCGACAATCTGGCGCTCGAAGCGCATCCAGTCAGTCGTCTTGAAGATGGCTGAAAGGACGACGAAAAGGGTGACCTGGTGTTGCGGCGATAGTTTGTACTTGATATATCCGAACACTCTGGGCATATCATCGATAGTGGCGTTTGAGAAAAGTTCAGAGCAGATGCGTAGAGTATCGAGGCCCTCAACGAGCGCATCCCATTGTGGGCCGGTGTGGAGGTCTACTTTAGTTTCGACTGCGAGGATACTAGCGTGATGGATGAGGAGGCCAGAGACGCCCAAGTTCTGTGCATGTTAGTTCTAGAGCGCAAAAAGCTCCAATTCTTAATAATCGGGTACACTCACGTCGACAGCGGCAGCCATGGGGTCACTAACTAAGATGTATCCATCTTCGGGCTTTTTCGAGGGCAGGTCGTTGGGGAGGATGATTACCTTCTTTCCACTGACAAACTGTACGCAAGAATCCTCTTGGCTGGTATCGTCGGCTGTCTGAGTTTCCTTAGGTGAGACATACTAGCATTTGCTGACCAACTATGACCGTTGTCACTTCAAAGCGCTTTATTGTGCTAAGGTGGACAATCGACTGGGTATATAGCAGTGAACAAGGCAACGAATGGGGTGAGATTCATGCCAAGGCCAAAGGAGGTACAGCAGTCTAATACTTCTAGATTATCTCAATCCTCTCCGTGGTGAAAAAAGATCGCGCTGCTATGGTTCGGGGCCATGGTTGCCTGCCATGAACCATGGTTATCGACACCTAGCTCTGTAATGGAATCGCCGATTCGCAATCAATCCATCTCACTACACCCCCGTATTGTCCTTCACCCGGTAAGAATAGTCCTTGTCTTCACTGTAGCCGGCGCCAGCAGTCTAGTTCTTTTTCATTCACATTGCACCTTATTTGTTGGCTTCGACATTATCGTTCCCTTTATCTACAACCTCGTTCTCGGACATTTCGGACATCTCGGACATCTCGTCTTCACAGTCTGAGAGCTCGCAGCGACGGGGGAAACTACATCAGCGTAGGAATGGTAGTCGGCCTCGACGAACTCGTAACTGGCAACGAGTTCATGGTCTTCGAGAAAGTCTTCATCCTCGATGCCGGTTGGGTCATCACCGAGCGCATTCTTACACGATGCCTTTGGGAGCTCGGTGATGCTGTTCTTTTCTTCGTGGCTATCGTTTGCATGCTGAGTGGAAGACACCATGGAAGGAAAAGGTCAAGTATTGAAGTGACTTGCTAGAGAGTGCCGCGTTATTCTACTACACTCCTGGGCCAGAATTCGTTGAGGTCGAGGCCGCAATGAACTGACTGGTCTTAGGTGCTGGTGCTGCTACGAGCTGACGACGTAAACGCCTTCATGCTAGTGTAGTCGCGCTTTTACAACTGAGCAGGCAACAAGAGACCCCTGCTGATCTTTGCCACTGATGAAGCATTTGTATCTACTTCACTATAATCAACGCGAGGTACTCCTGCTGGCCGCAGAGGACGTGCGCGAGCTTCGCATCAGCCACTTCTTTACCGCGTGCAAGCGCAGTACCGGTAGACTAGACGTGAGCTTTAGTCATAGTGAAGAACACATCAACAGCTTTGAGAACGAATCTCTTCTGTGGCGCGGAATAGTCGATCATATCTTGATCCTGATTAAATTAATGGCAGTTTATAAATGTTGCTGTTATGCAAAGTGTCACCTCTTAACAACTATAACCTCGATGATATCCCCTCGTACTCACTCAACTCCTTCTTGTCGCAATTCCTTGGGCTCTCACCAAATTCCTTACCCTTGCGACAGGATAGTTCCTCCGCGTTCTTCCACTTCCAAGCAGTATCCTTCTCTTCGCCATTACTCTTACCAGATAGCACATTGCACATGTAGTTGCCAGCGACGGGAAGGAACCTAACGAAGACGTCAGTATCGCAGTCTGCTGCGCGACACGAGACATAGGTCTAAAGTCACTTACTTGTATGAATGAAAGCTACCACCGACTGCAAGGTATAGATTAGCGAGCTGTTGATGAGGATGCTGGCACATGAGCCAGTCTTCTGTGGGTGTGACGGCATCGTAGCAAATTCGCCAGCGGTCTGGTTGTCTGCTGCGCGTCCACTCTGGCATGGCGTTGTGAATTATCTGTGCACTTTCGTGCTTTAGCTTCTCCGGAACATCGTTTTGGTTCCTCCGTGATGGCATGGTGATGGTATATCCAGAAGGTGTTGTGACCCTGTTGACGATCTCCGTCTTGAGATCATTGATTTTCAGCGTCCGGTTCGGCTGCGAAGGTGGGATGATGTCGACTTCTCCACCAATGACGATCACGGGGACTTCTTCGTCGATCATGCCTTGGGTATCTTGTTCGTTCAGTGTGTAGTACGCAGAGACACGTCCGACAGCAGTGACTTGGCGCTCGATGCGATCCTGCTCTTGGATCTTCAAAGCGTCTTCAATTGGTGACATCAGAGAGCTGGTCCATGCTCCTGCTGCTAACACGATCTTGTCGGCTCTGAGAATCTGGCCATCTCTCAACTTGACACCAGCGACGCGGCTTTTGTCGGCACTAAGTAATAAGTCTTGCACTTCCCCGGTTACTCGTTTGACACCAGACTCGAGTGCAACCTTCGTAAAGCTTTGGGTTGCTCTTTCAGCATCGCACCATCCAGCTTCGGGATTGAAGTAGCCTTTGCCATATTGTTCACTCTTGATCCCTTTGGTCACAGCGTACTTGTCCAGGTCTTTAGCTGGTAAGTCCCGCGTGCAATCGCCTCCTCGCTCGCAAAACGTCTTTTTGATCGCATCTCCAAATGTACCATCTTTCTTGTCTAGAACAACCCAGCCAGTTTTGTGAAAGTGGCCTTGAACTGCAATGCTCCAAAACCAGAAATGAATAGCTTCATTTGCGAGATTGCAGTAAAGGTGCGATTCGTAGTCGGTACGGATGATGCGGTTGGTGTCGATGGCTGCCGCCTGCTTTTGACCAAGTGATGCATTGGTATTCCAGCGATCAACGATAGTTATCCGAGATGGATCCTTGTATTGTTTGCTCAAATGATACGCGGTAGACGCGCCGAAAGTACCTGCGCCTATGATAAGTACTGTGGGTTCGCGATATGACATACTGGACGAGTGATGTTGAACAAATATTAAGGTTCGCAAAGCTGTCAGTGATGTATATGATAGCGATGACGATGAGGCTTCCTGGATGGTGGATGAGACTGCTCGCACTAGTGCTGCGGGGTCTTTTGCGGATCCGATGTACCTGCCTGGCCGAAAACGTGCATTGGCTCGCACGATCGGGAACCAGAGGGAACCCCGGATACAACATCAAAACTGTTGACATCTCAACGCCGATAGCCTTTGTTGATGAGTCCAAGCCTGTTGGCAAGCGACCATGGTAGAGAGCCGCAACGCTTGACGCAAAAGCTTGTCCACATCTCCTCTTTCTCCTGATGTAAAGTGCAGATGGCCCGTAGACTACTGTTCCAAAGTCGGAAGTGCGTACACTGTTTGTTTGGGGGAAGGTAAGAACTACAACAACACAATGAAACGGCAATCCGGTAGAATTACTGAAAACAAGTAGCTACCGACAGACGGTGTGTGTCGCGTGACGCTCGCTCCAAAAGAACGTGAGATCTGTCTGTGGAGTGATGAGGGCCTATACAATAGCTCAAAGGACAGCAACACGTGCTGCATCGGTTGTATTGACTTGAGAAAGAAAATGTATCGGTAACCGAGTCAGAAACGCACTCGTTCCCGTCGCGATGGAATAGTTTGTTGCGCGATACTGAAGTTATGATGAGGGAAGTGCTTGAGGTTTGTTGGACGTACTTCCCCTGGCGGGCGGGCGCTAAATAGACCTGAGTGGTGTCATCGCTCCTGTCCAAATATAGCGACTTACTGAAAACACCAAACATTATCTATTGCACGCGTGCGAACTACCAGCAGCAATCTTGTGTACCATGGGTGCCAGTGCGAGGCATGTAGTACGAAAAGATTTTCTTTCCTTCACGCTCGACCTGAATTCCATCGCAACGTCCGATTCTCGTGTTCTTTTCCTTCGAGTGGTTTTCCGCCGCAGTTCATCGACCAGCTTTACATATTAATTTGCTCATACGCTTCACTGCAACAAGCACTTGGGGGTGCGTGCACATAGCAGTTACTCGTTTTTTCTTGAAGGAAAAGAGCTGGGTCATGGCAAAAGGGTCGAGGAAGGAAGCCAGCGGTCAACCATGGACATAGACCAGCACATCCATCAATCGCGCGTCGCGGGAGTCTGATAACTCACTCCAAGCTATTCAATGCTTTGATTGCTGGACTTTTGCCGTTCAAAATGCATTCACAACCGTTTACCTTGTCTCGAAGACACGGATTGCGACAACGAGATTCGACCCCGGAAGCGGCCTAGTGCGGGTGGCTGAATTGCTGTCACTCGGCTGACCTTCCTTGTGTGAGCGATCTCTGTTCCGTAGAGAAGTACCAACACCGCGGAGTGCAACCACGTAGTATAAAGTAAGACCTGGAAGTCGGCAGTTTAATCGTAGACCGAGTGTAGGAAGAGATCGAACATCATCCGTCAAACTATCCGCTCACCCATCAATCTCCGATTTGCCGCTGCACGATAGCACCCTGGTGACTCAATCGACAAGCCCCACCACCAAGCGTACAGTGCAGACTCAGCAACACTCAACACCAACACCACGATGCCTCCAAAGATTCATATTGTTCGCCATGCGCAAGGACAACACAACGCGACTGTAGGTGACAGGGCGGGGGGGATGATCTCTACGACATCGACGCTAATCGACCGCAGCGCGATTACAGCATTCGCGACGCTGTCCTGACCACGAAAGGCAAAGAGCAATGTCGCACACTCAGCTCGGCATTTCAGTATCATGAAGAGATAGAGACGGTGTTTGCGTCGCCCCTGCGCCGAACGATCCAGACCGCTGCGCTGAGTTTTGGTCCTGTGCTATCGCGGAAGGAGGTGCCGTTCGTGCTGTTGCCAGCCTTGCAAGAAGTCAGCAACATTGGGTGTGACGTTGGAATTGCAGATACTGCAGATGACGTGCAAAAGTTCCTACCAGAACTCTTCCCCGAAGGCGAGATCGACTTTGATATCAGCAAAGTCGACGCCTCTGCGGTGACAGCGGGCTGGAATTCCAAGGTTGGTCGATCTCCCGGTCTGACATCAACATGCATGCTTACGAACACATCCTGCAGCAAGACTATTGGGCGTATGAGAAGCGCGCCATATCGAAGCGCGCTTCTGATCTAAGGAACTGGTTGTACCAACGGCCTGAAGCGCAGGTAAGTCGACCGTCGTCCTCCTCTCAGGGATGATGTGCTAACGGAGCAGGTGATGATCGTCAC